CGCTGTAGCTTTTCTATTCCATATTCAGGACTCTTGCACGGCCTGCTGAGACGCGCAAGGCCCACAAGAAGTGGATGATTATTTCTTTCGGTTATCCGCATCCTCCATTATGTCAAGTCAAGAAGGAATCAAGAGGGATTTATTGGCCTTTGATAAACCTCTGGTAAACCGATTTGACTCCACTGAGCGGAGCGTGATAGGCGGTCCTGTCGGTGCCACGTTAGTTCCAGAGTGGCGGGAAGAGGATGGCAGTGAAAGGAAGCTCAACCGGAAATGCACAGGCTCTCCAGAACCGTCGGGCACGTGTTTTTCTGCAATCGAGGTCGACGGTAACTCGAACACATTACCGAAGAATATCAGCGATGATGCAACTGCACACACGACTCAGGATGTGGGTGATATGTCCAGCAACGCTACCTTTTCCGTGAACACGACGCAGCTGATGGACATCGGCGATAGTATCTTGCACGAAATCTCTGGTGTTTCTGGCCTTCATGACACTTTAGCCAGCCAGTCAGACCCAGGATGCCCGGCGCACAAGTGCAGCGGTCACCATGCACGGAGTGGAACATTAGAATCTTCGAATTTATCACTGAGCTTAGATCACCTTCCTCGAGTGCTAAGCAGCAGCAGAAACTCTCAGGGGACCATGCTGGAAGACATAGGTGATAGCATCCTTTACTACAGCAATGGGACAGACACAGAAGAGGATGTGGAAAGATTGAACAAGCAGGCACAAGACCAGGAGGAGGTTGGAGCAAAAGTGTGTTCCAGTAATGATATTCAAGATAATCTTGACTCTATAGAGCAAGGAATTAGTAAAGTAGAGTCAGGTCAAACTGACATTGAAATTATCATCAACAATTGGGATGAAGAAGTAGAATTGATTTCAGAAAGAGATGAACACGCACCTAAATGTGAAGAAACTACTACTGGTACTGACCAGCAGAGCCTAAATGAAGATTGTGAAGTTCATGCAATATTAAACAAACATGAGGAGAAACTCAGAAAAAATGAAATCTATGATAGCTTTGACAAACTTGTTGATGAGTGCAAGTCAGATTTGTTACGTCAGTATAAACGTAGGGGCTCTGCACAAAGCACAGCCATCCAGCCACCTGAAATATTACGCATCTCCGCGAGATGTTTTTCTGCACCATCTCTTAAAAGTACTGAGTCACCTGGTGCATTCAGTGATCACAACAGAGAACAGTCTTGTGGCCCAGATCATGCAGGGACTCATAGTCTGTTCACGCCAATACAGCAATTTGTTGTGCCCCATTTTTCTCTTCAAACCATTAATAATTTCACATCACACGGTGAGCTCGAATGCGCAGTGGGGGAACCAGCAGAAAGGGCAACATGTTCTTCAGTCTATCCAGAAACCCTTCCACAAAGTAGTTATGAAGGTCAGGTGCAGCTGAACGAATCTGCGCAGGATCAGGGGAATTCTTCCCCAAACCACACGTCATCTGATCCCCAACTTAATCCCAGTAACAGCCATGATGTTGAGGCAAGTGATACCAGAGTAAATGACCAGAACCATAATCTAATTGTGTGGGACAGTGAATTTCCTGATCATGGCTTTGGTACTTTCCAAGGAAAGACAGACCCTAATGGCAGTTCAAATGAGAATAGTATCCAAGAAAATAATTATCACAGTTTCATCAGTAATGGCGTAATCACCAGCAGAAAATGCGAAAAGAGGGAGTATGGCAAGGGAGTGATTGGACAGATCAGTTATGCGCTAGATCAGGCTAATCTCAAAGATAGAAGGGATGCTTTCAGTGAGCAGTGCAGTGGTACCAGTGAACATACTAGCAGCGCCAGTGAAGAAAAGGAAGGAGTTAGTCTGACCAGTGACGAAAGTGAGTATTTTGATAGTCCATGTAAGGAGGTTTGTATTCACAGTGAATTATTCTGTGCAAAACACGAGGAAAGTGGACAGACCAGTGATCGCAGTGAAATTTGCAGCAAAGAGAGTGAGCAAACCAGTGTATCTAGTGAAGAAGAAAAACAGACTAGGACATCTAGTGAAGTAAGCAAGCAAACCAGTGCCTTAGCTATACTTATCAATAATGGAAGTGAGAATACTAGTATATCCCATGATGAAAGTGAAGGAAAGGAGCAGATCAATGCATCTAGTGTTAATGGTAAAGTGTATAACGAAGAAAATGAACGGATTAGTACTTTCAGTGAAAGAAGTGAAGATGCTAGTGATTTGAATGTATTAAGTGTGGAAATAGATGGAATCGCAAAAGAATATATAGAAAGTGACCAGAATATGGCAAACTATAATGAACATGACCAGAGCAAAAAGGGTATTGAGAAAAGTAAACAGGTCTCTTGTAATATTGAAGCAAGGGAACAAATTCCTTATGCGCCTGATGAAACTATGACTATAATTGCCAATAACGATCATACTGACTGTGAAAACAAAGAACCATTCACTGAAAGCTCCATTATTACCAATCAGTCCAGGAAACACCCCTCAATAGATAGCCAAGAGAATAAACCTATCGGTGGCAGTTGTCAGATGGTCACCAGTATCAACCTTGCAAGAGAACAGATTTTAACCACAGATGCAACATTTGATAAAAACGAACATCTGAATAATTTCAGTGTAGATTCCGCCTCGAGAAGTCATATGGAGCTAGACCAGACTGTACTGCTTACTCATTCCCCTCACACTCTACATTTTGATAGCCATGAAAGCCGACAAACGGAGTCCATCAGCACAGAAACCGAATGTGGTAGGAGAAAGCCCATCGTCATCAGTACTATGGAAAATAATGAAGATAATCTCGAAGTTATCAGCGAAAGTGAAGGTGACAAACACGTTGATTATCTGGATAGGAAAGGTGACATAGATAACCCCACATCAAGATCCCATGAAATCGACTCAGAGAATACTTTTGAGAACGAATCCCTTTGTTCCACTGTTGAAATGAGATTTACACTTCCTGCTACAACGCAAAACCTGAACAATGCAAAAGAATTTGCGAATGAACCACTACCCCTTACAACCACTAAGGACAGTGATGAAGAAAAAGAAAGTGCGCCGTCTCAAGGAATATTCCCTGATACACCCGTCGCAGAACTGACCAAGAGCATGTCGAAAGTGATGCAGAGCACTCCGGACATAGAGGAGACCATGTTCGTGAATGTCGAATATAGTCCAAACCAAGCAGAGGAAAACGGCTTAGACCTGAAAACGTATGATGCCTCCCCACCACGAGAGGAAAACGTCCATCCTGCTGGAGAAAGCCACGGCATAAATACAGTATGGTTTTTATATATGAGACAATATTAAAGTCATGGATTAAACGTTGTAACAACAAATATGTAGTAAACATTCCACTCAAGGCACCATATTGGTCATTTTTTTCAGTTAAGGTCTTTCTATAGGAAAATGCAAAATAGTTATGTGCCCGAGCATATATTAAATATCGGCAAGGAATTAAATCGCGGATATTTGCTGTACATACTACCCTTGACATTCGCAGCACCTGCCTCAAGACGGACACCAAGCAGAGGAGCTGATGTCAAGTTTAGGAGAGGAGGAAGTATTCACTGGCTTGGGCAAGAGTGACACCTTCTCAAGCCTGTCTGATTCTGCTTCTCGTGAGTATTGCGCAATGGCTGTAGCGTAGTCTTGAGGGATGAGTGGTTACAAAAAATAGCGTGTGTGATTATTGCGTGATTACCCTCCTTGTAACCATAGCTATGAGTAGGGTGATGTGTAGCGTACGGGTATGGCAGTATATTGTGGATGTAATGTCTAATTATAGATGATTTTTATAGTGATTGATTAAAATGGTACAGCAAAATGGCAAGACTACGGCGTAAATGTTATTAATAACTAGAGTATCGTGTTGAATACTCTCCATGGGATGCAGACAATAGGGTGCAGTGGCGGTTAGCAAGTGCAGTATAAAACATACTATTGTGTGAACAAAAAAAAAAAAAAAAAAAAAGAAAAGAAAAGAAAAGAAGAGAGTAATTTGAGTACGTTTAAAGAAGAGTGTCTCAGGGAAGTATGTCAAACGAAAGAAAACTCACAGTGCGCAGAGGAAACGCAAGAAAAGTTGCGAAAGACATAATGGGACACTGATTCCGACAGAAGGAACAAAGTGGCCTTGCTGTGGAATTATTGTTGTTTTTAATACTGCCGGGTGACAATAGTTAGATGGCGCGGAAACGGCTTGAGTAACACGTTCCGAAATTACTGAATGAATTGGAAAAATAAGAATTCCGCTACCCGCACACGCACACCTCCACCTATATCCCAACCGCCTTCCCTATCCCGATCCCCATACTCATACAGCCACGCTTCATATTGCGTGTATATATATATATATGTGTGTGTGTGTGTGTATGTATATATATACATATATATATATATATATATATATACATATATATATACATATATATATATATATATATATATATATATATTATATATATATATATATTATATATATATATATAATATTATATATTTATATATATTTATATATATATATATTATATATATATATTATATATATATATGTATATAATATTAT